AGTATGTAGGCTTGCACGTTTAATATGCTTTGTAATAAATTAAATCAGAACAATTCAATAAATAGTTTTAAAGTATTCATAATATCAATAATAAAAATTTTGATAAAATAAGCAAATTACAAAAAAAAAATTCACTTGTCTTGATTAAGTTAAAAACTACCCTTCTTTTCTTTATTTATTAAAATCTCCACACCACTTTCATCTCTTATAAATAATCAAAAATATGATTTCCAAATTTTTGTATTGGAAAAATTAATTAATCCTTATTTTTTTTATTACACACAGGTCAGTAGCAACGTTTTTTTTTTTTTTTTTTTGGGTTCGGTATAGCAACTCTATCTGTAGTGCGGTCAAACATAGATTTTGCTGTCTCTATAGCTATTAAATCAATTTTTTTATTGAGTTAGGCCGTTTTCATATTATTTTCCAGCCTCCACCGGCGAGCAAGCATTAATGAGTTCCCCCCCCCCCCCCTCAATTCATGAATCATCACAGGGCCTTGACTTCATAGGCACGTCTTAATGGAGACATTCTTAAATAAATTAGACATATCACATCCTTCATAATCTCTCTAATTAAAATATTATAAATAATTTAAATAAAATTTTATATAATATTATTTTACTTAATTTTATTTTTACAACAGGATTTATATTTAATTTCTTTCTTTTTTTATCATTAATGTTAGAATCAATTTATATTTAATATGATTTAAATATCATATTTTTATTGAAGAGACTATAAATGATGTAATGCACTTAATTTGTTTAAAAATTTTTCTATCTTACTGAGAAATTTCCATCACATGTTTCTTTCAAAACATGGGATTGTAGTTAGTAAACATTTAAAAAGCACAATATGATTTTTTTTTTTCATTTTCTACTTGAAAATAGATCATAATTTGAGAACAATTGTGTTTTTTTAATAGAAGTTTAAATGAGTTAACTCTTGTCAACTCATTGAAACTGAGACATTGATAAAATTGACTTCACATGAGCAGTCATCCACTAAGGATTAATTTTGATTATTATTAACGTTTGGAAAAACTTGTATTGCACTAAGAAATTGACTAAATATTTTTTAAAATGACATTTATTTAAAGCCTAACTTATTAAAATTTATATTCTAATATTATCCATTTCATTTAAAAATAGTTGATATATAGCGAGGAGTTTGAATTTTCAATGGCTACTCACAAACCACTATCTTTTTTTTCATTGGGACTTGAGCTAGCCCAATAAATTTTCTTTTCTTTCATTTGTGTCTGACATGTGTGTCATAAAAAAAAAGTCCAACGAATATTGAATATACAAATTAATCTATAGGGGTTTTTTTGTTTAATAGGATCTATATTAATAATAATTTGTATGTCTAATCTTTTTTTGGCCAAAAGAATACTTTCATTCCAAACACAGAAATAGATATCCTACAGTACAATGCAAAGGCTCAAGATAATAGACCAACTAAAATCAACAGCAAAAGGACAAAGAAAGAGCCAAACAGTAACAATGAAGAAATCAGCCGCCGTCATCTGAGACAACAGAGAAGTTAGTGACAATAGACAACTCCGCACAGTTAGTGGCATCCTTGGCTGGCAAAACGGACAAAGAAGTTGGTGATGAGAACACCCATCCTATCAGACACACCTCCTTAAAAGCGGGCATTGAAATAAGATCAACAATAAGAATTACATTCGCATGGGGTGAATATAACAAAAAACCTAGGGTTGGTTGCCACTAGTGTTGAGATGTCTTCAATGATACTTCTACACCTTCAATCTACAAGAGTGATTTGGCCCTTCTAAATACAGTTATCCAGCACCAGGCAATTAGTTTCAAACATAACCTGAGCATTGCCTAAATCATGAGCAAGTATAAGCGCACACCGTAGGGCTAAGGCTTCTGTCACAAAAGCAAACAAAGATTTAACTTCATCAACAAAAGCCCACAAGCAAAGCCCTGCATCGTCAAGACACACCAAGCCATTTGATGTTTCGCTCCTACCTGTCACAAAAGAACCATCACAATTGATCTTTAAATAGCCAGCAGGAGGTAAGGTCTAGACTTGAGATCTAGATGGTTTAGTGACATTTGAATCCACAGCATCATCAAGTCCACTAACATGCCAAAATTCAGCAGCAACACATTGGGCAACATTAATAACACCATAAGGGTTTGGATCCACTTGATCGAAAACTCTCTTATTTTGCTCCTTATAGATGCACCACAATAGCCAGCTAAACAAAACAATCCCATACTCTATGAACGGGGAATTACCATGAACAAATTCAAACCACCATTGGCCAAAATTATAAATATCAACCAGATTCATTCAAAGGGACAGTCCACACCCAAACCAACACATTAAGTCCAAGGACAAGAGGAAAAAAATGCTCAACTGTTTCAACATCATCCTCACAAGCAAGACACATATTTGTATGCCATTATGCTGATATGTCAATGCCTTATTCATAGCAAGAGCATGTGAAAGAGCTCTCCAAATAAAATGAATAATTCGAGGGATGGTTTTAGTTTTCTAGAGATTACGCCACATGTGATCGGTAATAGTAAAAGACAAGCTAGAAGCGAATTTCCTCACCTTATGTGACACCACAGTTGTATTGTAGCCTTACTTAACAGAGTACACACCATTGCTTGCGACCGTCCAGCAAAACCTGACACTAGAAGCATTGTTGAAAGTGGAATTTGTGAGATGGCTGCAAGAGATGCTGTATCAATGTTGGGCGTCAAGGCAGTGAGGTTTCACTGCCTATTTTCAATTACGGACACCACCAGCAGCTCAAACTTAGCTAGATTTCTATCTTCAGCGTGGAGATGCATATTGGGGAGGCTAGGGATCCAATTATCCTTCCAAATCCGAGCAATCATTCCACCACCTATATGCCAGCATAAGTGTTTTCACAAAAAATTCCTACCATTAATAAGGGTGGACAGCACCAAGAGGTTTTGGACCATTTTTTGGCATCAAGAAAGTGATTCTTGGGAAAATAAATTCCTTTGAGCACTCGCCATCCAGATTTTATAAGAGGTGCCACGTTGTTTTGGCCAATACCAATAGTGCCAAATTATAAATGATAAAGTCTTTGAAACCCTTACCTCCCTCCGTCTTAGGTTTAACCATTTTCTACCAAGCTAACCAATGAATCTTATTACCAGCTGTACCTCCATCCCACCAAAAATTGGAAATAAGACTATTGAGATCCTTGCATGATTTGACAGGAAACTTGAAACATAGCATTGGAAACATAGGAATAGCATTGACAACTGCTTTTATCAAGACCTCCCCTCCCTGCTTGAGAAAGGAATTTTCAACTCCAACCATTTACTTTGGAGGTAACTCAATTGTGAACATAAGCAACAACTTGGTATTTAGTTTTCCCGACAACACTAGGAATACCCAAGTACTTCCTTGGATCATCTGTAGACCTAATACCCAAAATAGTCTCATATAGATTCCCGTACATTAGGTGGTGTATTCTTAAAGAAGATATTTTTTTCTGAATTGGCAATCTAACCTGAAGCTTCACAATAAACCTTAAAGATTCTAATCAGTGTTCTGCACCTAGTCCTAGCAACATTCATAAAGCATAAGGCATTATTAGCAAAGAAGCTCTGCGTTATCATAGGACATTGAGTTCTCAATTTAATACCCTTGAGCACAGCATGGTCTTGAGATTTCTGGATCATACTTGAAAGTACTTTTGATGCAAGGATAAAGAGATATGATGATAGAGGGTCTCGTTTCCTCAAGCCCCTCCCATGTTTAATAGCAGCAACTTTACAACCTGAGAGACAAAAATTCAGAGATACAGATTCCGCACACTTCATAATAAGATTCACCCACATATTGCAAAAATCAAGTTTTAATAACATGACAGAGAAAATCCCATTCAATTCTATTATAGGCCTTACTCATGTCCATCTTAAGAGTAAATTCATATTTCCTGCTGTTACATTTCCTTCTCAAATAGTGATACACCTCATGTGCTGCAATAATATTATCATGAATATACCTCCCCAAGATAAAAGCCCCTTGACATGGAGAAATACATTCATTAAGAAAAGGTTTTGTCCGGGTAGCAATAATTTTTTATATAACCTTATAGGAAAAATTACGAACTCCAACAGGCCAAAAATGAGAAACTCATTCAGGTTTATCTGTCTTGGGACTGAGTGTAATATTCTATCATTGATATCAGTGATATTAATGTTTGCCTTCGGAAAAAAAAAAAAAAGTTTCTTCACAAGCAAGAAAATACTATCATTCACTTCATGCCACACAGATTGATAAAATTTACTTAAAAAGCCATTAGGACCTAGTGCTTTAGTAGCCCCCAAACTAAAAACAGCATCGTGCACTTCAATCTTTGTGAGCGGAGCCACATGAGTTGTTCATTAACAGAATCATCAACACAGTGATCCAGAAAGTTAAGTGCTTCGTCAAATTGCCTTGGGTGGGGGGACGCAGTAAAAATTTGTATGTTTAATCATATGTATACAATTCCATCAAAGCTATTATTTTAAACATAGGCTTAACTTTAAATTAAACTAAACATCTCTTACCGAGAGAATTGAGATGCACAAAATAGATAATAGTTTAAAATATTTCTGGGAGATTGCATTTTTAAATATTTAAACTCTGTTGATAATTGTAAAAAATAAAAATTGCGTAAAACTCAATACAATATATTAAAAATGTCGGTTAATAAAAATTGCAAGGATTTTTTTGCAAAAGCCAAAAAAATTGCAAGGAATTCATTCAGAGGAGTCAAAATATTCATTATTTATGAATATTTTGGCTATTTTATATTGATATTGATCGATGTTGATATATTGAATTTATTAGTTGATAATAAAATTGATATTTTTAATTTAAAATAAAAATTGAACCGGCACTTTGCAGAAGAAAGTTTAAATTGAAATCGAAATAAATATTTGGCCCAAAAAATTGAAATAAAAAAAAAAATGACACTTTAAAGTTTATACTCCATACAGGTTCGCGCGCGTACCCGGGTTTGGTCCTAACGTGCGACAGAGGGAGGGAATCAGGGAAGGAGAGAAAGAGAGGCGAAGGAGTCCCCAATGGAGTTTTCTTCTGTTAATACACTCTGTCTTGATGTGAGTTTAATCTTCTGAAGTATCAACACGACAGATTCACTTCTTTAAGAATGTCTTGATTATTAACGGAATTACTTTCTCTGGTATTCTCGCTCACTCTGATTTTCGGTTTGTTCGGATACATGAAATTATGATTGCAGTTGATTTCTTCTGCATTTCAAAGATGCCGATTATCTGAGCAGATTTGCAGATTATCAGTCATCATCAATCGCTCTTCCTCTTCGCGTCATCCCTCCGTTCAAATTTCAAGTAGGCTTCTCCCACTGTACTGAGAGTGTGGGACTGAATTTACATCTTTGGTGTTAATTTTATTGTCTGAGAATCGGTTAGCGATACGAATTAATAAACAATTTGTTCTGACAGAAGGTAAATAAATTAGAAAATGAGTCAAAACCACGTCCGTGGGAGTTTTGAGTTATCTGATTTTTGAATTATTATTCCTATGGAGGTTGAGATATAAATTCTTGTTTTTATGCCTTAGCATATGATTACGTTGCTTTAGAAAACTGGTGTTCTGATTTGGTGCCGGAGAACGTTGACCCCAGGCTAAAAAAAAAAAAAACAGAAGAAGAAGACAAAGCACAATGACCAACTATAAAATAAGATAATTTGACCAAGTATTCTGGGTTCAAATCTCAGCCGGAGCTTGGTCAATCTGCCTCGATACTATGTTGGAGAACTTCTAGAAAATCAGCCTATTATCTATCTTAGATGCCTCGATTAATATTATGATTGATGATGTCGTCTTCCATAAAACTTCGAGGAGATTGAGTGGTATCTTGTTGAAGCAGTTTCTGATACTGGTATTGGAAGCTGCTTAAAAGAATTTCAAGACTTGAAGTTTTCTAGGGGAGGTATCGCTGAGAATTGGGGTATGTGAAAAATTCGTTGTTACCTTAATGAATTTGAATTTTCGTTTTTTAGCTTCCAATTATTTATTTACTTATTTGTTGTTTGTTATGCTCCTTGTAACAGATGGAATGCTTCGTGTTAACACCACCAGTGAGTTTAACTCTCTCTTCATTGTGCTTTGATCTGAATGAACCTATAGGAGGTGTTTAGCACTTGATATGTGTATTCTTATGTATCTGGGATGCATAAGCACAAGATATATGGGTGTCTAAAATTCCCATTTTTGGGGTACAAAGCGTTGATTCGTGAGCTTGAGTCTCTCTCTTTTCTTTTATAAATGTATTGCGTTGCTATTAAATAAAACGAGTGCAGAGAAAAATTAAAATTTGAATTTCTACAATACCTCCCAGATATACTCAAATGTAGAAAACTATTTCGTTTTCCCGTTACTTCAAATATATTGTTCGTAATACAGGAGGTGATATGCCAGCCTTTTAGTGTGAGGATATCGGATTAAACCCTTTCCTTTTGACCATATTTTAGGTTAGCTATTTGTCATAGGAACTTGGTTATTATCAATTATATAGTCTAATAAAATGTTTTGTTTACTTTCTTGGTTCCTTGTTATCATATGCCATCATTTCAGAGTGACTTAGAGTTCAACAATTCATTTAATTGAATTGTTATCAATTATATTGCTATGTTTAGTTTCATAATTCTTATGAGAATTGTTGATATAGTCTAATGACATTGCAGGCATCAGTGATACTGAGATTTATATTTACCAATTTAGTTTGAAAGAGAATGGTTCTTCCAGAAGAATAAATAGGCTACCTTCATTCCAAAAAAATGGCGCAAAATTCAGGCATACTAGATGATTAAATTACTATTAGTTTAAGACATTATCTGTACGTCTAGTTTCCTGTAACTGATCGATTGCCCTACTTGCAGTGGTACTGAAGTTTCCCTGTCTTTTGCTCAAAGCCTAGATATTTTACTGGCCGATGTTCGTAGCTTTTTGCAGAAGGTCAGTTGAATTTCTAGTGCTACTTCGTTAATTCTTCCATGACACAATGCTGGAAAATTAGTTAGATAGGTTAACTTGTATAGTAATTTAATCATTTTGATAATTATTTATCTCTACTATCATGTGATAGTACAAGCAACTGCACTCAGACATTTAGCCATACGCTTTTTCCATTGTAAGCACACAAACTTAATTCATTTAAATTCCACTATAATAAAGTAATTGCTTGATTAGTTTACCAAAAAAAAAAAAGAAAGAAAAGAAAAGTAATTGCCTGATTAACGCTGCAGAAAGTAAGATATATCTGAATGTCGTTCAGCAGTATAAAAAGGTCTTTTCAGGCAAAAAACAAGTATAAAAAGCCTTAATATCAGAAATAGAAGTCAATTCAGTGATCTTGACTGTACAAATATACACCACAGGGGATGTGGAAAGCAATTTTTGCCATTTAAGCCATAACTTGATTGAGTAAGTAAAGAGTTTGTGTGCTTATATGGGGTGCAATGACACATCAAATTTTCATAGGAAGAATTTTCTAGAAAGGAAGAGATATCAGTGCCAACCAGATAAATAGAGGTAGCTTTGGCAAGCATGAATTTACTGCAGTGTCCTTCATTTTTCTGGTTCATCACTGCATATCAAGTGATACTATTTTGTTTCAAAGGATTTTAAATTATTGCGTTGAATTTCTGATGCTTCTTTGCTTCTTCGCAACACATTGGTCTGTTTTTGATTATTTATTAATATTATATTTCTCTTTCTACTTATCAAATTTCTCTTTTGCAGATGCTTATTCTAAGGATACCTGTAAGTTAAACTGACATTATTGCAGAATGCTGTAGTATTCTCATTTTTGCTTTTAAACATCAATTAGATGCAGTCTATAGAAGCCTTGTGATGCACCTCAAGAGCATTTATTCTTGATTTTGCTATCAGTAATTATCAATTATGCCAAATTAAATTGCTAAATTCCATGACTAAAAAGCAATCCCATAACCTGCTATAGAACCCTTGATCAAGACTTTGGCACGGATGTAGTGATTAGCTTTACTTTTTCATTCAGAATATTGCAATACAATTGGTGGCAGAAGACTGTGATGTTCCAGGATCTCGATATGAAAAGGTTTTTCTCGCAAATAAGCCTATGCAATCACCTATATTGGCACCAAATCTTGAACATCTGAAATCAGGCTTTGAAGAATATGTCTTAACGCATGGAAATAGTTTAGATAGCAAGTGTGATTCTTGCTTCCAAAGTTGGTAAGTTCACAATCATGATCAGATCCCCATCTATTATTGAGAATTGATGATTTTATTCTATAGTTGGTAGATTGATTAATTTGCTGTGGTTAAGTTCCTCAGCAGGAGATCCTCACTCCTCTGCCATAGATTAAGGTTACGTGTATAATTTCATCATTTGTTCCGTGTTGGATACACGTGAACAGTAAAGTATCTTATATATACCGCTCTATTGTGCATAGTGAATGTAATCATCGTAGTTTTCATGGAAAGAAAAATCCAGTTTCATACATTTATGTCCCATAAGCCGGTACAGCAAATCAGTTAACTCTTTCACCAGAAGTAATTCTACATTTATGTAGAAGTGCCCAAACTGTGATACGATCGAAGCAGTCTATCTTTTTTTTTTTTTTTTTCCTGACATCAACCTGCTTCTCATGTTAAGTGCGCACTGCTTTAATCTTTAATTGGATCTGTTGAAAGTGATGTTGATATGTAATATCACATATTTGGAGGCAAAATATCTCGCACAATTTATTAGAACAAGGAAGTCTCACATCAAGTAAAAGTGGAAGTCGGAAATTAATATGTTGTTTAGCCATAATTCTGTGGGCTGTTCACAATCTTCATTTTCTGGGTAATCAGAAAAAAATCTCTAGATTCATAAGTCATGTACTGATAGATTTGGAACGATTTACTTCGTGGGCTATTGTTAGGGAGCATTTCAAGGTTGGGAGTGGACGAGCATGCTGCACGGAAACTGAACTGGTGATGGAAGCAGTGATAATAATTAGTGATATATCAAAGGACAACACTGCATGCTTGAGAGAAAGGGGTGATAAAACTGAGGTTCTTCATGATATTTCTTGAGCTATAAGTTTCAGTTCAGTTTTGTATTGAATAATGAATAATCAACAATGCCATTTGCATGCAAGCAAGTCTACCAGTAGTGTGTGTATACAAATGGACAAATTAGTACATCTGGCATTAGTTTGTGTATGCTCATTATCTTTGATAGCTTAGGAAGGCAACTTAGTTCAATGGTAAGGGTAACGTTTGTAAAGTTAATATTAGTTTATGGATAGTGCTTTCGACATTTATATATCTAGAATGAGATCAATATTGCCATGGAAATATCTGGTAGAGTTACTGACAAAGGTTTGCATTGTTATATAAACGTTTATGATACGCTGTCATTGACGATAATTTTGAGATTAACCATCTATCAAAGATGTTTATGATACGCTGAAAATCATCCAAGTAGAAGACAAGGTTTTCTTAGTTGACTTGATGTGAAAAGAAGTGATGATTCATTTTTGCTTTAAAGTCAAGGATTATTCTGGTGACTTGTCTGCATTTTCTACTGTTTGGACGCTTTGTTTGTGATGTCTTTTAGATTCGATTTATTCTCCAATTTAATAATAACCTTGTTTAATATCAGGTTTTGTATTTTAAGGATTTCTCACCTGCACAATCCCTCAATCATCTATGAAGGCGTTGAAAAGCGTTGATGGACGGAGATATGGTTTGAATTTAGCAGGCATAGCGCAGCAAGATGGTTGTGCATTACTAGAATGGGAAACCTTGCCAACGGATACTCATATTGATATTGTGCTCCACTCCTATTATCAACAATGTCCAGCTTTTTCTGAGAAAGTATTTGTCATTTGATGCTTTCCTGTAGGATTGAACAGACACATTATTGCATAGAAAGCATCGCATATTTTAATATGAAAATTGCACTTTATATCTTGCTCAGAGAGCACAGCAATAGCTTGTGTCTGAAAATTACACTATATATCTTGCAAAAAAATAAAATAAAAATATCTTGCTTATAGTCGATAAATGTGGTAGATAAACTGAAGTGGACGACAAATTTCTTCACATGCATTTAATAATTAGTATTTGTGTCATGCATCGGTGGGTGCATATAATTCTTAATTTATATTTGATATTTTCCTTGACGTTTTGTTAAGGCCATTATGCGAGCACCAAGGAAAGACTCTCAAATTGATAGAAATCTTGTTAAAAGAGCCATTAAACTTTCATTGGATGACTTGAAGGACAAGCATGCAGGAGTTCTTTTAAGTGCCCGTGCTACTAAGGTGAACCCTCACAAAAGCACAACCTCCCTCTCTCCCCGCACAAAAGCACACATTGGCATGCATATGACCAAACTAGCTTGGCTTGTTCGCTAGTCTTTCAATGATAATTTAGATATTAAGATTTTGATAATCTACTTTATGGGTGCAGATCCCTTTATCTAGTCTATCATGACCGGATTTTTATCACTTTGCACAACTTTTTTTGTGGACTTTTGTTTAAAAAAGAAAAAAATAGATAGACCAAATTGGCGTTACCCTATCAAATTTGTACTTTCATCAATTTTACTTTTACTGTTTCTTTGTGGCCTTCTATGTTGGTGGGCTCCTTTAGCTTTGCACGGGGTCTGAGGTAGATAAGTCACATTATTTATAATTTGTGAAGTATATAGTTTGTTGTGAGTTTATATTTTATTTTAAATATTGAGTATTGATGATATTGATTTGGCTTCTTACATTTCCAGATCTGTAGTTATGCCCCTGATCTAGCAGAAACAATTGCTGGTTTAATTTTGTCCTCTAATGACTTGGAATTCCAAGAAGAATGCTTATCACTTCTTGGATTACAGTCTCAAGGAATTGGAGCTGAAACTGTGAAAAACAATATTAAAGATAGGATTGTTTCAGTGATAGAGATGAACGACAAAAAGGATCAGAAAACTCAAGAAGCTGCACCTTGCCTTTTTGATGACGACCGTCACCGAGAAGAAGGGTTTCAAGAAAACGACGATGAAGGTGATTGTAACATGTTTGCATTAGAAGATTAAAATTCTAGATCTTTTTTACAAATCACTGAAGCATCCATTGAGGCATCCTTGAACATTACAGCCTTTCAAACTTGCGTTATCCCTTTTCGTCAAATTTGTTTGCCTTGTTAGAATGCAAGAATTTTACGTATCTTTAACAAGTTTTGTTAACTACATCCGTGAAATTGAAGTGATTTAAAGAGGTTCATGTGCGTATAAGATATTATCAGACTTTTTTGATACATTCCAATTTTTGTAATAGCTTGAAGGTGTAAAATATTCATGTTACCAAAATATAATAATGATACAATCTACTAATTAATGCGCCGATTTTAACAACATATAAGGATCTCCATGTTATGAAACAAATTTAACTATCCCAAATGTGTAACATCTGTTTGTTATAACTATCTTTTACTTTCCAGTGCATTATTTTATAAAATTAAATCATCAAAATAACTATGTATATTCCAGGAAATCTATTTTTTAACACTAGGATATATATTTTTAATATGATTAATTTCGCAGTAATTCAATTGATTACATCAAAAGTCATATTTAGCTAACATATGCAAGCTAACATCTTAGTAGTACACTTCTTGTTTTGCAGTACACTACTATTTTCGTCATTCATAACATATATGTATTTGTCGTATAATATATAAACTTTGTATTGTCTTTATAGATTCAAGAGATGAAAGTTTCCTTCAATTATTTTCAAACATGAAAAAACATATTGTGTGTTATTGTCAAAACCATAATATATAGGCTTCCCTTGCAAGTTGCAACAAAGACACACTTTTATTGGTAAACAATGAAAGACACCTCTATCTTGTAAAAGTCTAAACCTAGCCGCCTTGGTCCAAAAAAAAAACCCAAAAAACTGGCCTTTTACGCTAGTTATGAAATTTTAGGACAACTTTGCCTCCTGTCCAATTTTCATATTAAACTTCTACAGTCTAAAGGAAGAATGATAATTAGGTTTTAAAATATTGAGTTAATAATAGTTAAGTTTTCAACAATATTTTTGAAATAAGTTATAAATATCAATTTAAATTATTACAAATCTAAGAGTTTTAATTATAATTAATATTTAAATATCATATGTAGAGTTAGGAATAAATATCAGGCCTGTAACCCTGTAGAGTTCAGGCTTAAAAAATGGAGAATTTAATTTTTAAGATAATTGGGCTTTTGGACCTAGACCTGATGAGCCCTAAAAAATGAGTTTGGGCTCGAGTGGCCTACCAAGCCCTGTTATCTTGTTTTTTTTAACAATCTATCTAAAAACGTTGTATAGAGAAAAAAAACCCTAATGTTAAACTTCTTCAATTTCTAATCTCATGAGTCTCACTCTCTCAGCCTTCTTTGTTTGATTGAAACTTTCACTCCCTTAGCCTAAAGATAGAAGATTTCAAAGTCACTCATCTGTTCTCCCATAGGCCATCGCTTATATCTGTCTCTCCTCAGCATCCTACTCTCTCATTAGCTGTTGATCATTCCTACCTTATCTCTGATCTTTTGCCCCACTCAAGTCACTCAGCTCTCCCTCCCGTATTGCTTGCCCTGTCACCCCTCACGGCATCACATCGACTCTCCCTTACGCCTCTCATAGTTTGCTTTTCACTCACAACTGTTGTCTTGGTGTGGGTGCTAGGTAGCAAATAGTGATACTTTGATATTTGCTTGTC